TATTTTTGAAAGAGAACAAAGTATATTAAAAAAATTACAAACCCACAGCAATATCAGCCTATTTTAAAAATTAAAAGATTTGATAATTAATAAACATTGCTATTATAAACAAACCTGCAAGCAATTTAGTAGCAAATTTCAATATTAAATGTTAGTTTTTAGTGTACCAAGCACGATCAAATAAGATGAGAAAGATCTCATGTTAAGTGAACTCCACAACTTTGTCGGCGTACATTGGTTAGGTGACCTAACTAACAGTACGAATTGTACTCACCTTACTCTCAGTCCGTAGAGCGGGTATGACGCTCCTTTGGGAGCTCAACTAGTCTTTGCGGACTTCTGGTAAAGTGACCTCTATATGGCAATTATCCGGAGGAGGTTAAACTACAATACCAGAGTTCATGTTAAGTGAACTTCAATCACTACTTTATCAGCGTACATTAGTTAGGTGACCTAACTAACAGTACTAATTGCACCCTCTAACATCGAGTGCAATCCTGAATGCTTACTCTATGCGGACTTCTGGTAAAGTGACCTCTATATGGCAATTAGCCGGTGAAGGTTTAACTACAATATCAGAGTTTATATTAAGTCATAGAAAAGATTATAAAAACGTAAAACAGATGCATTTTTAAAGAAGTTCTAAAACCTGTATTGCGTTTTGACGGCTGACAGCAAGAGTGAGAAATGAGTAAATAAAAGATGATCAAAAATTATGTTCAATTTTTTTTTAGGGCCTTTGTGGATGTACAATTGAACCTTTTTAGGAGCGCCTTTGTGGATGTACAACTGAAAGAGCTTTATTTTTGAAACACTTTGCAAAATGTAAGGTAAGAAAAGTTCGTTACTTGATGATTAGTTTTATTTTTTGTCAATATAAACTGTACGATATTTTTCTATTTCTTTGATCAAAAATGTATTTTATGACACCTACAATTTTGAAGTCAGTTTTTATGTAAAGTGCGATGAATATTTAATAATATATTAGGTTTTTATTGTATTTTAAGGGTTATAATAAATATGCGCAATTTACCAAAACACATTATATGACAAGTTTATAATAAACACACATGAATTTTATTATGATAAGGGACGCCAAACCTTGATCTTGCATATACTAAAAAAATCCCTGAACCGGCCCTGTATGGTAAGGATGAATATTTTGATATTTTGGTTTGATAATTTAATATATAAGTTTAAATATTGTGGAACATTTTTTTTTTTGTAATCTTTAGTTGTGCCTTTTCCTGCTACCACTTGTAAGTTAGTAAATTCTAGTGTTTTGATTTAATGATAATTTTTATAGGATTTGATTTTTTGCAATCTTTAGTTGTGTCTACGGGAAAAGATTACTACATCTGTCCAACAATATCCGTGGAGTAGTGAAATAACATCCGCACTTTTTTGTGTAAGATAATCCACTTTTTTTCTTTACTGAATTAACATTTGTGCAACAACATCCGAAATTTCATTGATGTCTAATAACATCTTTAGAAAGATGTAACTACATCCGAGAGTTTTTCTCGATGTGTAACTACATCCGCCTAAAATAATGCATTATTAAATAAAATAAATTTTCGGACGTAGTTTTATCCGAAAAAAATCAGATGTGTAACTACATCTGGTTAAAATAATGCATTATTAAAAAAAAAATTCCGGATGTAGTTACATTTATAAGTTACATATATAATTATTATATTATATAAGTGCTGCTACATCGACTGACAAATAGCCTGACTCGCGACGGAGTGCTGCTACATTGACTGACAAACAGCCTGACGCGCAACGGAGTGCTGCTACATCGACTGAGGGTTAGTTTTGGGCAGGCAGTCTATCAACTAATTAAAAAAAAAAAAAATTTATTATGCTTAAAATAATGCATTACAACAATTTTTTTTTGGCAGATGTACAGGTAGTTACATCCGAAAAAAATCAGATGCGTAACTACATCTGGTTAAAATTATGCATTTAAAAAAAAAAATTCAGATGAAGTTACATCCGAAAAATCTACAGATGTAGTTGCACGGATGTTATTATACATCAATGAAATTTGGGATGTTGTTGCAAGGATGTTATTATACATCGATGAAATTTCGGATGTTATTTTACGGATGTTATTATACATGGTAAAAACAGATGTTATTGCCCTGACCCATGTCCACTCCTGCTAACATCGGTAAAGTTACATATTGTAACTTTAAAAAATATTCATAAACTTATTTTGGCATAAATCAAATATTTCAGCAAGTTTCAGCTTGGTGCTAATATTGTAGTAGAAGAGCTGATGTTTTTATAATCTTTGATTGAATATGTGATAAATTATCATAATATTACTTATGTGATTAAAATATTACTTATATATAAGTGTTTTTATAAATAAAGTTTAATTACAACAAGTGATGTGACTTGAATAATAAGTACTGCAAGTTTTGCGCCTTACTGCATGTGGTGTGACTTCCAGAATTAGTTCTGCTTGTGGTGTGATTTGCAAAATTGGTACGGCAAGTGGTGTGACTTGCAATTTTTTTGATAGATGGGTCTGGTTACTTTCTTGGCTTGCCTATTGTTGATAATGATTATTATTTCATTTCATTAATGGAATTGCAAATTTTAGTCATTTACTAAAAGCCAAGAAAAATTCATAAAAATTTGTTATAATATTTTTATTTGAACAACTTTTTCAGATTTGAGGGGGTTTAAATGCCCTTTACTCTTGGAGGGATATATATAAAGCCCTTTACTCTTGCCCTCCATGAGTAAAGGGCGTTAAATATATCCCTTAGCAGTGGCGCAGTGGTTAGAGTTCTGGCTCAGAACCCAGAGATCCGAGGTTCGACGCCAGCTCTAGCCCAACAAGCGACATTGGTACGAAAGGAGGCGTGAACTTCCTGTTAAATGCTCTCACGTGGTGCTCTATGATAAGACCGTAAGGACTTCTGGGAGCACCTAAATACCTAAATATATATATATATATATATATATATATATATATATATATATATATATATATATATATATATATATACATATATATATACATATATATATACATATATATATATATATATATATATAATATATATATATATATGTATTATTTTTATTATTATTATTATTATTATTGCTATTATTATTATTATTATTATTATTATTATTATTATTATTATTATTATTATTATTATTATTATTATTATTATTATTATTATTATTATTATTATTATTATTAGGGTAGATTAGGGTAATATGAGCATACTTAAAGATTTATTAGATGTAAGCAGTGAAGTAAAAGTTGCTATATGTTTTTCGAATCGACTTTATGTGGTGATAACAGGAATCAGTACAATTAGCGTAAATTTATACGCAGTAATTAGCGGATATCATCTAATTAAAACGCTTTTAAATTTTTTGCTTTGTTAAAAAAAATTATCACGTGTGAATAATCCTGTGGCGCGATATTTTGGTGCTAAAATAATGAAACTAATTTTTTCATAAAGAAAAATATATTAGCTAAAAATCCAATTCATTTTTGTTTGAAAAATAATGCATAGAAACATTTATTTTTGACTTAAAGATACCATTTTTGTGTAATATGAGCATGCTCAAATTACCCAGTGCTTTTATTTGAAATTGCTTAGTTTAAAGTCCTAAAATAGCAGTGGTTTTTAATTGCTTCTTGAATAAAAACAAAACATTGTAAAAAATTTTAATATATTAACAATACTAAATATCTTTCTGTAACTTAAATCTAAAAAAATTTAATTTTTATTGTTCAAAGGTTTGAGTTAACAAAATTGAAAAAACAATGTATTAATTTTTTTTTTTTTTTGCGGAAAGCATATTATATTGTTTCAACAAAATGTAGCTTAAAATTTGATCTTTTAATGATATGTTTTGTTAATCACGAATCCTTATATTCCAACAATTAGTTCTATTAAGCAGGTTGGTCTTTTTTAACTTAATTAATGCTATTTTTTTTGAGCTAATTTAAAGTGCTCATATTACCAAGGGGTCAGGGTAATACGAGCACTTTTGCTACTTTTTTAAAACCTCTGTATTTTTAAGAAAAAATGTCAAGTGCCCAAATATCTAAATAGATTATGAATAGGGATCCCTAAAAATTGTTTATTTGCAAAAATTTTGGATCCAGCATATTTATTTTTGAAAATATTCCAATTTTTGCTTAAGGTGCTCATATTACCCTAATTTACCCTATATATTTGATAAATTTTATATTATTTTTTCTCTTTGTAAATAATCACATTTAAAATATTTTGTTTGTTTGTTTGATTTGAGGAGGATGGAGGGAGCAGATACTCTTGCCCCTTTCTTTGAAAAATGGTTACTAAAATGGATTTTGTATAGAAATAAAGGATGCTTTTATATCAATTTCTCTTTGTAAATAATCGCATTTTGGTTGTTTTAGATTTGAGGAAGGAGGGAGGGGGTATGGAAACACGCACCCTTCCCTCTTTTTTCTGAAAAATTATTACTTAGATGCATCTTGTAACGTGGTAAATGTTTTTATTTCATTTTCTCTCTATGTATATAATTGAATTTTTTTTAAATATTCACTTATTTTTAATAATCAAATTTTTTTTCTTAGTTGGAAGGGGGGGGGGGGGGGGGAAAGAAGCAAATATTTTTAGGAATGAAACATTTTTGATAATGGTGTGTGTTAAACCATCATCTCTTTATCCACCCTAACAACAAAGTACACCTATCATATTTGGTGGTGGTCTAAATAAAAATTACATTAACTTTTTGTATATAAACATTACCAATTTCACAAAAAAAGACGTTCTTGTATGGAAGAATTATGCATTTTGGGGTGGTAAAGATGGTGGTTTAACACGTCCTTTAGCCTTATGGAAAGGCCCGATGGGTAGACATTATAAAACGTTTGTAGCCCACTGTTGCATGTATCTTATGATACCAGGTTTTAAGCATTTGGATAAGAATTGACAAAGTTATGACAATTTTAGTGAAGAAAAACTAAATTATGACCAAAGTTCCTTCAACAGTTCCATATATCAAAAATTTGTTACTAAAAATCTCATAAGTTTTTGTAGAATTGTCCGATTTTGATAATTTTTTCATATTTAAAATACTGTATTAAAGGGCTTTCCAATGATTTAAAACATTATAGTGTTTAATCAATCTAAAAATTTCATGTCACGTACCTACCACACTGCTTCCACCTGCTATTTTAATTCTTTTTTAGCGTTGTTTACGTACGGATTTATCTCTTGTTTCTGTACGATGATAGTAATTCCAAATTGAAATTTTATCCATTAAAAGGTATCGTGGATTTTAAAGATTTTAGATTTTACATGAAATTTGAAAAAAACGTTTCTTCAAGCATAAAAAACGACAGCAATCGAACAAATTTTATTAACTGATTTTATTAAAACAAGCTAACATCTATATTATTATTAACGTTTTTAGTTACAATCTTTAAATTTACTCACGCGTTAAGTTCAAACAAAAGAATGCTTTTCATCCTTAAGATTTGTTTTATGAATTGATTTTGCAAAACAAGCTAACATCTACATTATTTCAAACGTTTTAAATTACAGTTGTTAAGTTTACTCACGCGTTAAGTTCAGACAAAAGAATGCTTTTCATTCTTAAGATTTGTAATGTTATTAAGAAAATAAACAAAAGGAAACGCGGGGTTTACTTTGACATGTGGGTAACATTGTCATGTATTAGATTAAATGTTTTTACCAGTTACCCGTTGATTACTATTTAAATTAATTTAACAGATGTTGTAGCTAGATGTTAAATGAACAAATATAACTGTTTGAATCCACATAGTAGTAAGTGTAATAAATAGCAACACAATGCAAAGGGCATAAGTAAAACTAATTTTTTTTTCTGTTGATAAAAAACTTTAATCAAAAGATAATTAATACCATACATAACATCATTTTTACATGTGTTTTTATAATGTTGCTTCTAAATAATGTTGCATTTAAAATTTGTTTGTAGCAATTTTTTTTAAACACGTATTTCAGTTTTGGAGTAATATCGACATAAATGCTCAAGTCTCACCGTAGGCCAAGAATCAAGCTAAAGTTGGCGGAATACCTTACATCTGATGAATTTTTCACATATTATTAGATAATAAATCAATCAATAATATTAGATAATAAATTAAATTCTTCATCAGTTTATGGCAGCACATAAACTGATGAAGCACTTCATCAGGTTATCGTAAACACATAAAAACATTGCATACCAAATTTGGTTTGTCACAGCTAAAAATAAAATATTTTTTCTAAAGATGAAAAATTTCGACAGAAACCTTTACCTTATATATAAATAACTTATTTAACTTTTTTACCTAACGTACTTTATTTTATAAAAATAATCAACAATTACGATATATAGCAATCTAACGCATCAAAAAACCTGAATTACCGGTAATTTACCAGTAAAAAGTTTATCAGTAAAAAACTTGAACCAAAAATCTTTCTTTTTTTTTCTTTGTTTTTTTTTAAGCGATTTATTAAAATAGCCTGCGGTTAATTGATAATATCAATTTATGTCGACTATTTATTTGTAATTTTAGTCGGTCTATTTATTATTGGTTTGGTTCAGTCGGTCTATCTATTATTGGTATTTTAAATAAATCGTTACAAAATGTTTTTATAAATGTTTTAATGTTATAAATTTATTATGTTATAAATTTTATAAATAAATGTTATAAATTTATTAAATGTTTTTGGTTTTCGCTATACTCAAAATAATCCATGTTGAAGTCACCCATAATAAAACTTTTTTTTTCTCTTGACTAGTTTTTCCTATTAGATGTTTTATTTAAAATTGTTTTTATTAAAAATTTACTTAGATTTTCTGCTCTTCCATTTGGAGGCCTATAGCAACAGCCTATTAAAATGCTTTTAGAATTTTTGTTTATTAGCTCGATTGTTAAGGTCTCTTGATCCGTATAGGAAACACTTTTATCGCTTCAAACTATATAGAAAATGTTTTCTTTCAAATAAAATGTGCTCCTTCTCCGCACTTATTATTTTTTTGTTCAGAATTAATCTCTTTAAAACCATGGAGAAGGAGATTAGAATTTGATTCAAAATCTCTTTTAGAACGTTTAGATTTCACAAATTACCTTAAAACAATTGCTGGTTTCAAAAATTTAAACAATTTTCTAAATACTTTTTTAAACTTTTTTAAAAAGTGAATGACATTGAAATAATCACTTTTATTATCCACTTCTAAATTATTCTAAGTTATTCTAACTAAATTATTCTAAGTTATTCTAACTTATTTTTTATTATATTATGTTATTAACTTATTTGGTTGAAAATAAGAGCATACAAATTATCAAAGTGATTAAAATCATTAGTTTGAAAAAATTTAAAAACATTTTCAAAAGTGCAATTATTTTTCGAATTCATTTTTATATTCCTATTTTTTATTCTGTTATAAATAACCTTAAATATATTTTGTTTCAAGATGGCTTTTATTGTACACAATTTTAACGAATAAATTACCTGTGACCTTGAGTTCTTTTGCTTGTCAGAAAAGTTGTTTGCAATTACTAGTTGCCCGTTCGCTGAAACCTTCGTACATGTTTTTCTTCCACAAATTTTTTTTTTTTTTGTATTTTTCAAGAAAGTTTGCACGATCTCTACAATTGAAGAACTTGACAACGATACTTCGGTTCTACGCTTTTTCGTGTTCTTTTCTTCCAACACGATGCGTTCATTCAATTTGTATACTTTTTTTAACATCCAGTTTTTCTCTCGGTAGATTTTAAATCAATTCTTCACTTTTCTCCCATATTTCGCCTTCCTCAACTCCCTCAATTCGTAAGTTATTTCTTCTACTTCGGTCTACTAGTTCAGCAGTTTTATTATTTAGTGCTTCATTTTCATTGTTTATTTCAATTCGCAAGTTATTTCTTCTACTTCGATCTTATTCAGCAATTTTCTTCTTTAGTGTTTTATTTTCATCGTTTAAACATTTTTGATTCAGTTGACCTTCTGCATTTTTTTTTTTTTTTAGTAAGATTTAATGTTTCTATTATTATTTCGTAATGTTTACTAATCCAGTGGGCACGGACGTAAAAAAGGCGTCTTTAAAACAACTTATACACCTTTTAGACGTCTTTTGAACGTTCAAAAGACGTTTTTCAGGTCCGGTGCCCACTGGTAATAAACTCAGAAGTTTCATTTGTGTCATATACGAACACGTTTTATTTTGTGTCATTTAAGTACACGTTTTAGTTCTTTGTTTTCTTCTTTTATAATTTTGTTTATGATCATTAAATAGTTTTATTATTGTACTTTCATTTATTTCCAATAAATCCTTTACTTGATATTTTTTCCCATTATTCAAAAGTAGGTTCATTATAAAGATTACAAAGACATAAATGGATAGGGGAGAAGGGGGCAGCTTTGAACGTGGGCAGCATTGAATTAATGCATTTTAGCGGAAAATCAACTTCATAAAGACTTTATTAAATTGATTTCTAACTCCAAACAAGCTAGTCAACAAATGTATCAACCGCCAGATATAAATATGGCATTGATTTTAAAAGAAGTTATTGATCGGTTAAAAGCATTACAATTAGAAAATAAAAAAATTATGGCAGATTTGCATTTATTACAGGTAAAATACGACGAACTACAAAAAACAAATAACGAAATCGTGAAAAATCAATGTGCGTCACAATTTAACAACACAAGTAATTATGAACCTCATAAATCGCAAGAAAATATAAAATCTATTGTTTCAAATTCAATAAAATATCATTCCCCAAATCAAAGAAATACGCTGGAAGAAGTTACTGCACACTCCAGCACAGAGATTTCAAGTTTATATACCGATAGAAAAAATAAAATTAGAGATTCCTACGCTACCGTGGTTAAAATGCAAAACCCGGAACAAAATAACCGGAAACCAGAAAAAGAAAAAGACTGTGTAACAGACTATCAAGAATTCAAAGTGGTAGGAAAAAATAATAAAGTTAATAAGAGCCATATGGATAAGCAAAAAAAAGAACCCGTTTTCGGAAACAAAGTCGCTAGCAACAGAAGCTCGATTGCGGGCAAACGTATTATTCGAGAATCATATATATTTGTAGGCGGAGTTTGTAATTCCATATCCGAAGAAGATCTATCAAACTACATGAATAAAGAAATAGGTATTACTCCTTTAGACATAAAGCTTAATAGAGAAAACATGTACAACCGCTCTTTCAAAGTAAAAATTAATAGTACTGAAAAAGGAATGGTACTTAAACCCGATGTTTGGGATAACAACATTATTGTTAAACCGTTTAGAATGCGGCGAGAAGCACTAACAATCGAAAAACCACATCAAAATACCGAAAATCATTTGCCACAATTCTTACACCACTCTTCAGCATTTATGCAACAATAAAAATTGAAATCATAATGGGAGAAAAAGAATTAAATGTAACTAACACAAATATTACGCTATGTGCATATAACTGTCAAAGCTTTAAATCGAATTCATATTATATTTCTAAGTTGTTAAAGTCTTTCGATATTATTTTTATATCAGAACATTGGCTTTTAAATATTGAGAGTTTTTTGTTAAATAACATTGCATTACTAACACACAAAGTTTTTTTTCATGCGGCAGAAAAAAATACACACGGTAGACCATATGGAGGAAATGCTTTTATGGTACGAAAAAAATTGTCATCTTTTTACATAATACATGAAGATGAAAACATTCTTGCTATTAAAGGCACACTTAACAATCGTAACTTAATTTTTATTGGTGTTTACCTTTCATCTTGTCGTAATAATAACGAATCATACGCAAAATACTCTTCTCAGTTACAAACAATCACTTCAATAATGAACAACTATGAGGATGAAGGAGAATGTATTATTTCCGGAGACTTTCAGTCATTTCCATATAAAATATATGATTCAGAGCTTCGTAAAAACAAAACTAGGAACAATTTCTCAAAACATCTCACTAATTTTATTGAATCAAATCAGCTCGCTTTTGTCGATATAATCAACGGTGCTGGGCCTACTTATACCTATCAACATAAAACTCTTTCTAACTCTTCTTACATTGACCATATTGCATCCTATAAACAGACAGAACTATGTTTTACAAACTGTCAAGTTATGCAATCTTCACCGCTTAACCTTAGTGATCACCTTCCGGTGTCTACGAATATTAACTTTGAAGGTACCGGCTTATCACACGAAATAAATAATATAATGCAAAAATTTAATTCAATACCAAAACATGCATGGAATAACGAAAGGTTTATTGACTTTTATAATCTCAATCTATCAAAAGCATTTACTAGTTACGCATTTAAGGAAGATAAAATAGAAGAAGAAATTCAAAAAACATGCTTATATATAAAAAATGCAGCTCTCTTGGCAGTTAAACAATGTTTCGGACAAAAAGAATTTTATAAGTACTCGAAACCTTGGTGGACACCTGAGCTTAAAAAAATTAAAGATAATCTCTCCTTTCACTTTAGACAATGGCAAAAATCAGGCTATAATAAGTCAACAGAATGTATATCCTACAAAAGATTTATTTATTCCCGAAAAAACTTTCGTAAAGCTGTAAAAGCGGCACATAACAAAAAAATTCACGAAAAAACTAAAAATATAGAACACTTACGCAATACAAATCCTCAAAGGTTTTGGGGTAATATTCGAAAAATCAAAAAAAATACTAACAATCGACTCTTTACAATTAATAAATTGCAGAACAAAAACGAAATCGTCGAAGAATTTAGTCATCATTTCCAAAAACTACTTAATACACCGCAATATACAAATAACGAGTTCAATCCTCTCCAAATTCCACATTTAAGTAAAGAGCCTAATTCAAAAGTTATCTCGACAGCTGATATTGAAAAATGTATTTTAAAGCTTAAAAATAATAAATCTTACGATTGCTATGAAATCAGTGCTGAACATCTTAAAAACTCTCACAACAAGAATCTTCTTATTTTACTTTCGTCGTTTTATAACAATATGTTAACAAATGGAAAGGTTCCACACGGTTTATCAACCGCCAAAATTATCCCATTAGTCAAGTCTTATAAAACATCACTAGAAAATCCAAATAACTATCGAGGAATCAGCATTATACCAATTTTTACAAAACTTCTCGAATATCTTATCATACACATATGTCCAGATATAACAGAAAGTCATTCCCATCAATTCGGTTTTAAAGAAAACAGCTCTACCCTCCACGCAGAATTTCTTCTGAGTGAAACAATAAAGCACTATAATCATAATAACTCACCGCTATATATATGCAGTCTAGACGCCAACAAAGCTTTTGACAGTTGTAATTGGGAATTACTATTCGAGAAACTCTATTACCAGAAAAAAATCCCATTATCTATAGTTCATACAATATTATCACTATATCAAACAGGAACTTCTAATATATCATATCTTGGATGTACATCAAACAAATTTAGGCTGTCTCAGGGAGTGCGTCAAGGATCCATACTGTCGCCTCATCTCTACAATATCTACACAGAGAACCTTCTAGAGAAAATTGTTTCAGAATCAAAAGTTGGAACTTCAATAAATGGTGTATACACAGGTATCATTGCATATGCTGATGATATAGTTTTACAAAGTTCCACTATATCTGGTCTTCAGAGCCTTATTAACATTGTTCAAAAGTATGGACTATCGAACTTTATTAAACTGAATACAGAAAAAACTGAATTTCTAATATCTGGAATAAGTTCGATTTTAATTAACGTTATTTATATTAACGGTGATCCTATCAAGCCTCAAAACAATCTAAAACATCTTGGTTTCCTTTGGGATAATAAGAACAAAAAAATGACAGCAACACTCCAAAAACAAAATATAACTGAACGTGTAACGCAATTTTTATCTGTTGCAAAAGGTCTTATAAGAAATGGACTTCGCTTTTGCCAGCCTGCTACCATAGTTCATTTATTTAATTCTTTAGCTGTTCCAACGTTGTTATACGGATTAGAACTGTGTGGAAGCAGCAATAAGTTTCTAAATAGCATTGATATAGCTGGACGATCTGTCTTAAAATCCTTCTTTAATATTTCAAAGCAAAGTAGAAATTATCTACATTCTTATTTCAAAGTAGACGCTGTGTCAGACATTCTTTTTCGCAACAAGTTAAATCTATTTATCAGGCTTTTAAACAACCCCATATGTTACTCGATTATACGGACTCAGATGCCTTTAATGAATCAACGATCATTTGTGGGTGAGGTAATGATAATGTGTAAGAAAGCTGATATAAACATGCTCCAATTTATGATCGAGGGTAAGAAAATTATAATTGCACGCCCTCAGGAAGCATTGGAGGCCAATGTTGCGGCGATCTTAAAACAATCGTTCCAACACTGGAATTTAAAGGAACAAAGAGAAGTATTTAGAACGCTGATGGAGGAAAACATTCCAAGAACAATGCAAGAAAATACTTAAATGTGCTTTGTTTTTTTTTTTTTTTTTTTTTAATACTTTTACCTACAGTTTATGTAATTATTGGGTGTTTAAAAGAATAAATATAAATATATTTGTGAAGAGCGCATGTATTTAAATTTGATATATAGAATTATTTTAACATGACAATACTTATCCTCACATCTGTCACTTTAATATGTTGCCATTAAATTAAAAGTGGACAAACTAGACGATATTTTTGTTTTTTAGTACAAATTTGAAACATTTTGATAAAAAGTTGTATAAGTTTTCTGACCACATGTTTAATAAATGCTGAACTTTATGTTATTTATTATATAGATTATTTTATTCTCTATACAAAGATGCAAAAAATTTCATTAAAAAAATATTTTGTTTCCAAAAATAGGCATTTACTCTCTAAGACGCCATTGGGGCAGTTTTGAAAAAAATGAACGGGGCACCTTTGAATCATTGTAATTCATTCTTTCAACTTCCCGCACTTCCCAAGTTTAGTTTATTTAATGATAAACTGGTTCAAAATTATAAAAAAAAGTCATCGAGGAAGTCTAGAGAAAGATGTCAATAATGCTGTTCTCCAAGTTGCAAATGGATTAATGAAGCCAAACGAAGCAGCTAAAACCTATAATATAAAACGTAATACTTTACATTACAGAATAAAGAAGTATAAAAATTCATTGTCCAATACCATGTTAGGTTTGATAAGTAAATATACTGTCGCACAAGTATTTAATGAAGATGAGGAAATAATGTTGAAAGACTATCTAATAAAAAGCTCTAAAATCTAAACTATAGGTTGACATATAAACAAGCGCAGGAATTAGCATTTCATTATGCAATGAAACTTTGCAAATGTCCAAGTAAATGGATGGAAAATAAACAAGCTAGTATAGAGTGGTTAAAAGGCTTTATGAAACGCCACTAAGAA